CTATATCATATCCTTTATTATACAATAAATCGGTAAGTGTAAATAGGTGTTTCCCTGAGTTCTGTGAGCCATACTAGCAAATTATCAAACCCAAGGAGGGGTCATAGGAACACCAGTTTATAGTTGGTTAGTCAGAAGTACAGACGACAGCTTGAAACTTGCAATTGGTATCTGAAGTGGAGGCAGTCTTGTGGGGTTGGACCCTTTGCCTGTGGGATCTGCTGCTAACTCCTCAGAGATAGTGTCAGAACTGAATTGAATTGCAGGGCACCAAGCAGGGATTGCAGAATTCCTTGAGGTGTGGAAAATCCATACTTCTGGTGTCAGAAGTGTTGTGAGTGTGGTAGGAGTATGAGAGTAAAGGAGGAACACACAGGAGTGTTTTCCCTATACAGGAGATAAATGTCTTTCACTTGTCCCACTGCTCCCCATGCCCTCTGCATGACAGACATTGCCAATTGTTGGTAGAACCCTTTTCTACTGAGTCTAGACCCAGTCTTGGAATTGTTTCTAGTTTTTGCCCCAGGTGATGATTACCTGTTAAATGATTGGCACCTGTGTTGAAATCTATTTATCATCTATGTAGATCTAATCTGCCTCTTTCACAGAAGGACTTATGCTAAGTGCTCCAGCAGAAACTGGCTAGATGTTCACCAACCCACTTTTTATTCTTCCTACATGCACGGGTAGACTATGATTCCAGCTTTCCTTCCAAATAAGTATGGCCACATAACTGTTCTAATCAATAAAACGTGACCCCTCCTGATATGTACCATTTCTAAGTCTAACCCTAAAAATATCCTATGTGCTCTCCTCCATTCTTTTCTTCATCCACTTGTTTGATTCCTACGAGCACAGTGACTCTGTAAGCCCTGATAGAGTCAAAGGGTGGAAGGAGTCTGGGTCTCTGAATCACCTCTTTGATGAAACCTACCTTCCAGTCATAAACACCTGTTTGGGTCTTATGTGAAGAAGAAACAGACTTTTGTTATGTTCAGGCCATTAAAATTTTTTATTGTGTTTGTTACAAAACCTATTGTTACAAAACAAGGGTCATACAAGATCACATCATTAGCAAGTTTCAGAGCCAGAATTTGAATCTGAGTCTTTTAAAGTCCAAATTCTTCCCACAGTGATAATCTTATTGATAATTTAAAATATTATCCATGTTAATGATAATTCACATGACCTTATTTCAGACCTTATTTCAACCTACATTGTCTCCAGTTATAACCCTACCAAGTTTTGAGTTCATCTGCAAAAAGTCTTCTTCCACCTCTAAAAAAACTCAGTATCTTCCCACTGATGACTTCAGGACTAGACTTCCCCATCCTCTCATCTGGCTTACAATTCCTGCCCAAGTACAAAGCATAAACGGTGACATCAAGTCAGGCTTTCTTAAGTGTGTCCTGGGGAACAATTTCTGTGGGATGTTAGCAGGTTTGGTGCCTAAATAAAATATTCCATGGTCAAGTACATTTGGGAAATCCTAGATTAAATAAAATGAGAAGGTGTCTTCTCTATAGGAATATCTTTTAATAGGATAATATGCCCTGAGATTCTCTAAAATAGCGGTAAAGTCAGTAGCATTTTGCAAACTTATTGATGACAGAGCCCCTTCACAAAGAGCATATCAAGGAACTGATGTTCCGTTGAACACATTTTGGAAAGCACAAGCCTACGTGTATTGGGTCATACCCATAATCGCTGGTATGAATCTAATACATCTTGGAATTTAGCCCCTCTGCCCAAGGAGACTTTTGTTTCTGGTTTGTGTACTGTCTATTCCTGACATTTGACAAATAATTATTCCTTGACCTTTGTCTGGTTTGGGCTACTAATCCTGTATCCTCTGGCTCTCTTCAAGACTTGACAACAGACTTTATTTTGTGGACAGCTCTGCCACCCTTTGTCTGTCTTGTTGCTGCCCTACCTGACAGAACACAAATGTTTCCCTTCATTGATTGTGTGTATTTATAGTATTAATTCTTGTTTCAATAGAACACCCCAAATAAAGGATAGAGTTGGGTAGTGTTAGTAACATAAAGAGACAATTCTTACTGGCCTACTTAAATATCAATGTCAATAAAATACAGTGGAGTTACACTATATGGACATTTATATTATGTGAATTCAAGTAGATATACTTAGCACCCTGGCCCCAGATAGTGAGAAAAAATAGTTTAAATGCAAGGCAGTTAGTTAGATTTTATGTTAGGGAATGCCATTACTGGGGGTCTCTTACATTTTAAAACTTGCATAATCCAAAATTAATTTTTCATAAAACTGACGAAGGAAGGTATTTCTTTGCTGTCTGAAGTGGCACCACCATGGGCTGTAGCAAAAACATGGTTCCCAATTCACCTGGCCCTCAAGATTTAAAATTGTGTGATTGTTAATATAAAAAAAGATTCTTTTCGTATTTCTATTATTTCAAAAGCTGCCAATCTTGTGAGAATTTATTAATATTTTTATGTTGTACTCTTTCAAATTTGCATAACTCTGATTTTATAAATTGCTACTACATAGTGGTGTGGGTGCTTTCACTCACCATCCCACTCCATTTGCACAGCGATTTAATCTGTTAGGAGATATGACTGCTATTTCTTTCTTTCCTGTGTGCCTTTCATAGTAGAAGATATTACTGTCCCATAAATGCAAACCAACAATTTCATCTGGCCTCACCCGAAGAAACTGAAATCTATTGAATGCTCGCAAAATGCTATGCTGAATTTACTGAACATTATGTTAGTCTCCAAAATGTCACGTAGTTTTAAGATATTTTCAAAGATAATTTTGAATATACATGATTCTTCTCTTTCTGTGCCAACTTTACAATTTTATCTCTCACATAAGATGTGAATCTACTTGAAGATAATGGACATTATTTGTTGCCAACCCAGCATCCACTATTCCCTCCTTTCTTCCTAACAAACCCCTATTTTAGTCAGGTGTCTACCCTCATATGACTAAAGGGAAGATGATCCTGATACCAGTTCCAGGAGTAGATCTTGATTTGTCTAAGGTTGTAATGGTAGTCCCACCCCCCCTTGCCAGTGATTGGTTTCAGACTGGTTGAGTAACCCAGTTATGACCTATGAGATACAAGATAGTCAGTTGAGGGGTTTCTGGAAAGATTTCCTTAATTCTCAGAAAGGGACTGAGATAGTAATAGTCCGTCTTCTTCCTAAGCCATGTTGCTGGGTCTGGATGTGACTCCAATAGTCATTGCCATCTTGCTACCAGTCCTCTGAGGATGTCAACATTAAGAGTGGAAGAGAGCAGAGATGGATAAACCCTAGGTCCTTGAAGATGTTGCTCTGTTATTGAATCAATCAGTCATGAAGTCTCCCCAACTTCTTCCTTTTAGATAATATCATCAGTTAGCTTGGGCTGCCATAGATTGGATGGCTTAAACAAAAGAAATTTATTTCTCTCAGTTCCAAAGAAGGAAGTCCAAGATCCAGGTGCCAGCTGATTTGGTTTCTGTGAGGACTCTCTTCCTGGCTTGCAGACGGCCTGCCTTTTAACCTTCTCACTCTCCTCACATGGCCTTTCCTTGGTGTATGCCCAAGAATAGAGTTCTCTCTCTTTCTCTTCCTCATTTTATAAGGCCAGCCTTATAATTAGGATTCCACCCTATGACCTCATTTAACCTTAATTACCTCCTAAAAGCCCTGTCGCCAAATATAATCACATTGGGGGTTTAGGGCTTCAACATATGAATTTGGGGGGATACAATTCAGTCCATATCAGATAATATAACAAATGTCCATATGTTGTTTAAACAAGTTTAAATTGGTTTTTCTGTTATGTATTACTAAATATACCCTAACAGATGTCATATCTTATGAAGCAATACACAAAGGACAATGTCTAATTCATGACATATAACAGAAGATCAAGGGCTATTTTCCTTTTCTCAGAACAAAGCAGTTGTCGAGTTAAAAATGGTTAGTCCATTGCTGTTACAGGGCATTTCATGAACTGCTGATTGTACATATATGTGGTATCATGTTAACATAAACAGTCCAGCCCTTAGGGAGTTTTAAGTTATAAAAGAAACATTTTTCTAAGATCATGTGCTCTGATATAAAAACCATACTCTAGCCCAGTTGTATCATTATAAAGTTCTGGCAAGCCAAGAGACGTTAGTTGGTGATTTTATCAGGCAAGACGTCTAACTAATGCTTGATGAAACCATCACTGCACCATAAAACACCGTAACAAATTGCAGTGACTATTCCTTTCAAGAATTTAGTCATTTTAGATCATTAACGTTTATTTCACAAAAAGCAATTTCTTAGCAATCACTACAGTCCTACAAATAAGAATATACTTTCACCTTTGTGCATGAAATGAATCAGTTATGTTTATTCTTGCAATTCAAATCTAATTTTAATAACTATCTTCAACAAAGAAGGTGGAGTGTAGACTTTATCCCATTCTAGTACAGTTCATATGAAACGTTTTACCTATTATTTTAGTTGCATTGTACACAAAGTAATTTTATGTAGTTTTCCAGGTGAAAATTAAATAAATACAATTATATTGAAGTGAAGGATTTTCATAACATAGTAAAATTCACTTTTTATATCTAGCCTGGGAAGTGGAAAGAGCAGCACTCGTCAAATTTTAAAAACAAAACCAAACAAACAAAAGCAAACTCCACCAAGAAATAAATGATGAGAGATAAATTTGCATATAGATGGATCCATATTAAAGCAATAGAACTTGGGCCATTTTGAAATCTTAAACCTTCTGACACTATTTTCATAAACTCAGTAATACAAACCATGTGGTGAATGATTTTCTGAAAAACTTTGCTGGTTTCACTGTGTATTTTATTATTGGCCAAATGTGACATTAAATTTTATCCCCTGTGGCTTGGAGTTAAATGCTTGCTCTGTTCAGAATGGCAACACTCAATTAAACAGCATTTTTCATGATCTACACCCACCATTGTTACTGTATTTAAGGGAAATAATGGGGGTACTGACCTATATTGCGTTTCTTATTATCAATGGAGATGAAGCGAATGCAGGGATTACTGGTGATGTACTGCCCAGCCCAAGGGACATCAATCTTCGTGCCAGCTTCATAAAAGAGGCCCAGCGCGTAGCGAGAGGAGTAGCTCACAGACTCCAGTTGCTGCCTTTGGCATTCACTAATTACTGTGGAAGAAAAAGTACAGGGCATCAAACTTTAAATTATCATCTTTCCTTTTAGTACATCAAATACAAAACTCCTTTAAACCAGTTCCAACTGTTTCTACCGACTCCAGCTCACTTATGATGAATTTTGAAAGGTAATGTAAAATAGCATCAGCTCTCATTTCTTTGCAGAGCGATTACTGTCCTTGGCACACTTGTTTTCATCAAGCTGTAGGTCCAAAGTCTTTAGACTGGCATTTAAGTCTCTCAAAATCTGACACCAAGTTGCTTTTCTAGCTTTGTGTCCTAATTATTATCCTGGGACTGGCTGGCAACATTATAGATTCCATACACTGAGCAGGGTTTTTGCCAACACTTAACACAAGCATTTCACCCTATTTTAACAACCACCATATAAGGTAGAATATTATTCCCATGTTACCAGTGAGGAGACTAATGCTCCATCTCTTACGGACTTCTTAAAGTTCTTCCATGTCATACAGTCATTTGTTTGCCTGTCATCTTTCTGTCAGTGGACTATCATAGTTTCTTAAGCACAGGGACCATACCTTAGTCTTTTTTGTTATAGTCCTCTACCCTATTAATTACAGAAATACAAAGGAGGAAAGTATAAAGAGAGAGAAAGGCAAACACAGACATGCAAAGTTAGTTAAAATGTAGGAGGTAAATAATCAACAAATGGAAAGACTGGGAAAGTAATTAGGCAGGTTTGGGTTCAAATCCTGACTCTACCACTTACTGGGTAGGTGACCGTAGGCAAGCCACTTATTCTAATTACAGTCCTTTTGTCTTTAAGTGGCAAAAATAGTACAGGATGCATTAATCTGTTGTGAGGATTACATGAATAATGCACAGCACAGTGCTTGGCATATGATAAGTGTTCAGTAACCATTTTTTCTATTAGAGAGAGAAAAATATTTAGCAAAATGGGACAATGCTCCATCCTGGGATGAAGAACGAAAAGACTTCCCTCACGTTTTAATTTCCATCTCCAGTCTTCCTACCTTTAAGGGTCTCAGGAAGCTGCTTGTTCATGTACCACATTAATAATTTGGGTTTCAGAGAAGGCAATAGTTCTATTCTGAAGGCTTAAGTCAGGCCAGTTCAGAAATGGAGCATATGAAAAATTCTCATTTAATTGGTGAAAAATATCCTAATCTAAATCAGTAGGGATTGGCAAACCTCAAGGATGGGGGTAACTTTAGCTAAACCTTAGAGAAGTGGCTTTAGGAGGAAGAGAGAAAACATGAAGGATACTCAAATTATTTAAGCACAGTAATAATCCTACACATTATCACAGCATATTCTTGGCTACAAACTAAGACCTCATTTAATCTTCACAAAAGTCCTGCAAGATCTGCCATTCTAATTTTACATCTCTGTGAAGCTGAGATTCAGAGAGGTTAAGTAATTTTCCCTAGGTTACACAGCTTCCAAGTCTGTGCGGTCAGGATGAAGCTAGAATTCCCGCATCGGAGTCATGCCCGTCTTCTTTACTCCACACTTCCCCTCCTGATCTGTAAGTTAGTCTGAGCTTCAAAATGAACTTTAGCATTTCTTTCTATTCTGACATTAATGGTTATTTTGCACTCAGAAGTAAAAGCCATCATTCCCTTGAACCATCATTTTCTGTCTTAATAAAAGATTTATCTACTTGATGAACAAATGATCTTTTGACACTGGCCTTGTTACACTCAATGTATCCTGGGCTTCATTTTATTATTTACTCTACTTTTAGAGTTATGGGGCCTGATATTATGCTTACTGCTTTCTGAGCTGGAGGAGGTGAAGGAGACTAACACTAGCAGTTGAGCACGTATTGTGTATTTGGGGGGTTATCACTAAGTTTCCCATTTTTTCAATTAAAAAAAATAAACCTACAAAAGAGTGAAGTCAGTTATTTAGCAACTGAAAGGGCCTAAAACTCTTTTTTGAAAAAAAATTTTTTTTTCTTTTTACCAAAACCAAAGGGTCAACTAGGCTGACAACCAAACTGGACCTTTTCCTCCCCGCCACACACATTTGCACATTTAGCTAGTTTTTAGACAAGCTGCCAAGTGGCAAATCCCACTGGGAAGACTTTGAAAAGGTAATTGATATCTATATAGAAACAGAGGTTAACCTTAAACACCCTTGTCTGCTTCAGGGACTCTACAATTCATTCTGAGAACAGGGAGGTGAGACTTTTGACTCAAACAATCTCAAATTCTGAACATATTCATTTACAAAAAAATTTACCTTCAGGGCCCAGAAAGTTTATCATCGTTGCAGGACCTAACAAAATGGTTTTATTTTGTTTGAAAATTTTTTTAATGCAAAATGCTGGAGGGAGCAGCCCTAGGTCATGGATACATATATTTTGGCAAGAAAAATAATAGGTTCTTTACTATTGTGTATTCAAAAGGGCCATATATCCACAAAATAAGGCTCATATAAAAGTGCCTGATTCCAATATAATGAATCTTTACCAGGACGTCATCCTCATTTAATTCTGAACCACTAGGATTATATAATCTCTGTAATTATACACACACAAACACACATACATGTATTATATATATATATAAAACATGTATGTGTGTTTGTGTGTATAATAATATATTTTACTTATATAAATATATTTTATATATAATATAAAAATATATATAATATATTTTATATATATTTTATATAATAATATATTTTATGGCTATCTGATGTAAATAAAGTGGCTATAAATTGCATTGAATGGGGTAGCTTACATTCGTACTTCTGTCAGTTAGGAGGACTGTCCTTATCCCATTCTCCTTGTGCCTATGCCTGTGTGTGCACACATGTATGTACATGTGGGTATGGGGGAGGGGAAGAACAGAGGGAGAAAGGAAGAGGGGGGGAGAGCAAAACAGAAGACCGGAACTGTACTCCTCAATAACGTCAAGTGAGTAATTTCATTTTTTTGTTTTCTAATGTAATTTTATTCTTTTAGTCTCCTAACATATAAAAGAGGGCTAGACATACATATTCTGCCTTATTTCCTGTGTGGTTTGGTGATGATCTCATTCATTCGTCATTGCCTACTTTATGGTGCCAGGTATCGTTCTAGATGTGAGGGATATAATAAAGAAAGATAAAGTTCCCGCTGTCAGGTAGCTTACATACTAGTGGTAGAGAGACCAATTATCAATAAATAACTAAGTAAATGGTATGTCAGTTGGTGATAAGAACTATAAAGAAAATTAAAGCTGGGTAAAGGGATGAGAGTGACAGGTCTGCGTAGTGAGGCTACTTTAAATAGGCTGTCAGGGATATATGTCTCCTCTGAGGATTTTATTCTGATTGACAGGGGAACCATTCCTACTGGTTATAAGCCAAGGACAAATATGACCTGACTTCTGCTTTAAAAATTATCATTCTGGCTATAGGTGAAGACTGCAGGGATGCATGAGAGGAACTGGGGCAAACAGCTATTGCAGTAGTCTTAGATGGGAGGTAACAGTAGAGAAGGTCAGAAGTGGTTACATTTTGGATGTAATATATGTGTGTCTGTGCATGTGTGTGTGTGTGTGTACACATATGCATGTATAAATACATACCTTTGAATTATATATATTTTATAAATATATATGTACATGTATTATATATATACGGATGGCACATACACACACATACATATATATAATGTAATTTTAATTGAGGTTTAATATAACTACAGAAAAATAGGCCTTGAATTTTCATAAAGTGAATGCACCAGTATAATCACCAGCCAGATTAAGAAACAGATCATTACCAGAACCCCAGAAGCTACCTTCTTCCTCCTTTACAGGTACTCCTTGCCAAGGGTAATCAATAATCCTGAATTCTAACACCATAGATTAGTTGAGCTGTTTCTGAATGTCACATAAGCAGAATGATGTTGTATGTACTCTTTGTGTCTGGCTTCTTTCACTCAATATCATGCTGGTGATATTTTAATTGCTGTTACACGTAGTTGTACTTAATTCTCCTTATGGGATAGTATTGCTTATATGTATCTATCCATTCTACTATTGATGTACATTTGGATTGTTTGCAGTTTTGGGTGATTACAGAGGTACTGTGAAGAACATATGTATGTGCTTCTCTTGGGTGTATACTAGTACAGGAATTCCTGGATCGTGGGGTTCCTTATGTTCAGCTCTGGTAGCTACTGCCAAATGGTTTTCTAAAGTGTACCAATTTGTGCTCCCACCAAGGGTGTATGAAAGTTTAGTTGCTCTACAACTCCATCCACATTTGCTACAATCTGCCTTTTTAATTTGGGATGTAGTGATATCCCATTGAGGTTTTAATTTGTGTTCCATGACGACTAATATTTGGAAGCTTTTCCATGTTTATCTGGATATTCTTTTATGAGTGCCTGTTCAAATCTTTGCTTATTTTTCTTCTGGGTTATCTGCCGTTTTCTTATTGCTACGTAGGAGTTCTTTATATATTCTGGATATGAGTCTTATATGTGAATTATAAAAGCTTTTTCCCCCTCAGTAGCCTGTCTTTTTACTCTCTTAATAGTGCGGTTTGATGAACAGAGTTTTAATTATAATTTAGTACAATTTACCATTTTTTCATTTATAGTTAGCCCATTTATGTTCTGTTTAAGGACTCTGCCTACTCCAGGGTCTTGAAGATATTCTCTTATTTATTTTCTCTCAGAGCTTTATTGGTTTACCTTTCATAGGATTTTGGATATATTTTGAAGATAAATCAGCCAGAATTCCTGTTGGCTTGAAAAGGTGGTGTGAAGGAAAGAGATCAAATGAGAATACATGGAACACTACTTCTCACCTACCCTAGTTAATAAACAACAACTTTGTTGTTCTATAATTTTAAAAGTTACAATATAAAAATAAGACACTACATTATAAGCAACTTGAGGAAAAAGACTGTGCCTCATGACCTTTGTGTGTCCAGATCCCAGGACAATGACTGATGCAATGTGGGCATTCCATAAATATTGATGAATACATGTCTATTTTAGAATATTT